TTAAACATGAGGAAATCTCAGAAGCCTGCTCCAGACCTGTTAAACATGAGGAAATCTCAGAAGCCTCCTCCAAACCTGTTAAGGAGCTCTGGTAGCATAGTGGGGTACGAGTTGGGCTGCTAACTGCAAGCTCAGCAGTTTGAATCTCCCAGAGCTGCTCCATGGGAGAGAGATGGGGCTTTCTGCTCCTATAAAGATTTCTTGGACGAGAGGGACTGAGAGCTGGCAGCCAGGAGGCAGACTTGCAGAATGTGCCCATTGGTGGTGTAAATTATGACATATACCTGAGTGTTAAAAAAAAAAAAAAGTTAAAATGAATAGAAACACTGTTAACTGATGGTACATGAAGGGGATTATATTCATTGTAATGAAACAAAGTATATGATTTATTGAATGTAAAACTAATTGTAAACTTTCACTCAATTCACAATAAAAAAGCTTTCTTGGAAACCCTATACAGGGTTGCTAGGAGTCAGAACCAATTCCATAGCATATAACCACCATCACCCCAGACCTGTTGAATCAGTCAAGTCCCTAGATAATTTGGACATACCTTAAAATTTGAGAAGCACTCTTCAAGGGCATGCCATAGAGGGGCAAATGGTGACCCCCTAAAAAAATATGTCCAAGTCCTAACGTCTGGACCTGTGAAATGGGATCTTATTTGGAGGGGGGAAGGGTCTTTGCAGATGTAATTAAGATAAGGCTCTCAAGATGAGCTCATCCTGGATTAGGCAGAGGGAGATCTTAAACACAGAAACACAGCTGCAAGAAGGTTCAGGGAAGATGGAGGAGATCAGAGAGATGCAGCCACACATCAAGGAACTCTTAAGTGTCACCAAAATCTGGAAGAAGCAAAGAAGGGTTATATCTCCTGGAGCCTTCTGAGGAAGCATGGCCCTATTGACATGCTGGTATCAGATTTCCAGCCTCCAGGCCTGTGAGAAAACACATCTCCATTGCCTTACGGCAAGAATGAGACATGTCCCAGATGAGAAATGTCCTAAGACTAATTACCTAGAATCCTGGAGGGATGTGTGGGCTCGTGGGTCACACTGACATTTCCATGAGCTTGGGTCTTGGTTGTGACTAATTTGAAGTCCAGCGCTTGTGTGCACCATGAATTTTAATGTGGGTCTTGCCCTCACAAAGGCCTGGATTTGAGCCCTAGCTCTGCTGTCTACCACCCATGTAACCTCAGTATCTTCATTTCCTCATCAGTTGAATGGAGATAATAATAGTACCTATGTGAAATTATCATGAAAACTGCAAAACAGATAAGTCATGTGAATGGCTTAATACCAATGCCTGAAAAATGCAAAGTGCTCCGAGCTGCTATCCCAGCAGCAATAGCGTTGTCTGACTCTGCCGCAAGACATAGCACGCTATATATTCTCCACAGACGCTGGCCACAGTCTGGAGTCCTGTGTGTGCTGTTCCACCCTCAGATCTTCCTCTGTGGCTGCATCTCCTTCCTGTTGGCAGTTGGAACAGGGACGATTGATCTCATCTCCTTATCTCAGCATTTGAAGGTAAGGGGCAAAATCTTTAGATGAGAAACCACCACATCTCTGGTGGAAGTTCTGATGAGACTCAGACTGGAAACAGTGGCCCCTAAACTTTGTCAAGGAGACAAGAATGTTATTTTACAAAATGCAAAATCACTCAAGTTGAAATGCTGATTTAAACTCAAGAACTTTCAATAAATGGTTTGTTTCTATCCAATGTAAACAATGTTGTAAGTACTAGCGAGTCAGTTCAGACTCATAGAGACCCTGTATAGGGTTTCTGAGGAACCACTGGTGGGCTTGAACTGCTGACCTTGTGGTTCACAGTCCAGTGCTGATCTACAACACCACACCAGACAATACTTACATGTTTATAAGTCTTCGCTGATACACACAGAACCAGAAAAAACAACTCCGGGTTTTCTGCTGTTTTTTCTACCCCTAACATTCTCCCCAATTATACAAGTGATCTGTGAATTCTTTCCTGTTGCATAAAATGAAGTTAAACAAAAATAAACACAAAGTCCCACTTCCGTCCCCTCTCCAAAGGCATTCAGGACAACAGCTTAAAGTGAATCCTTTCTATGTTTTTTGACTTTTACAGACAAGGGGTGGTATTTTAGTAAATATTAGTTATAAACATTTAGAGGTGTTTTTTGCTGGTTGTTTTGATGATGAGTGGCGTTTCTGCCTTTTACATTTCATTTCCCCAAATTGGAACACACACTAAATCATTGTTTCAGTGCTGAGCCAATACTTTGCTAGGTCTTCTTTGCATTTACTGTGGAAATGCTCTTTTCTTAGAAGAAATGTATATATAGCCTTCTGAGGCCAAGGAGCTCGAATGTTCTGAATGATGACTCATTAGAAAGAGGGTTATCATGAAGTTTATGAAATTCAAGCTTCAGTCTCCTTCTCTACAGTCTCCTTCAAGACCCTGCGTCTAATTTGGAATTTATATGTAGTCTTTTCTTAAAGAGTCTCCCCCTACTTCAACTTTTTAAGCTTCAGCTCTCCAAACCTCAGCCCCCGTCCCTAGACACAGTCTCTGTGCCAATGACACATTAGACCTTGTTCTCCACTGGGGCAGAAAGCCTATGATCTGACTGATGCCTGGTTTCTGAGGAGGTGGAGGAAGAGGAAGATGCTGACACTCGGAGTTTTAAAATGCTGAAGAGCCATTTCCTATCATCTTTAGATGCAAAGAAGTAAATGACAGGATCAATACAGCAACTCATATTCATTAGCGACACTGTGACTTGAAGAGACAGTTTAAAGGCGTCCTGCTCTTGGCAGGAAGAAGGATGGATTAGCTGTCTCAGCATGAACTGAATGATGTTGAGGTGGTAGGGGCTGAAACACACCACCACAGCAACGAGCACCACCAGAATGAGCAGGCAGGCCCTGCGGTGGTGCCCTTTTTTGCTTGTCAGAGGATTTACTCGGGCCGCCCTACATAGCTTCAAGGTGATCTTCACATAACAAAATAATATAATCCCTATTGGCCCACAGAAACTTAGAACACAAGCCACTAGGACCATGAGGGGCAGACTGAGGATGTGTTCCACGCTGGTATACTCCATGCAGGTCACCTTGTCTTCTACCGTCTTGGTCATAGGGTTGAAGAGCAAGGGTGCCGTCTGTAGCAGTGCCAAGGCCCAGACACCCACACAGACCAACCGTGCTTGGCTAGTCTTTCGGAGCTGGGGACACTGGTGAATGCAGACCACAGCCAGGTAACGGTCCACGCTCAAACACGTCATGAGGTAGACACTCCCATAAGTATTTAAGTAGAATATGAATGCTGTCAGCCTGCAGAACCAATCACCAAAAGGCCAGCTGGACTCCAACGCGTAATAGGTTATCTTTCCAGGCAGGGCCAATGCGAACAGGAGGTCGGACACTGCCAGATGGACCAAGTAAATGCCTGTTGAATTGATCTTCTTCGGGCTCTTTTGGCAGGCAAGGCAAAGGGCAAGGATGTTTCCCAAGGTGCTGAGGATGAAGAGGGCTGTGTAGAACAGAGAAAGTGTCATTGTGGCCGCTTTGGGTGGGAGGTGAGAATGGCAGAGGGTGGTTGAGTTAGTCTTGTTGGAAGCCATCTCAGAGAGGTCCCTGAGGGGATAAAAAAATTTTAAATACTATATTGAATCTCTGGAGTCACACTTCTAGAATAGTATGAATTAATCATTTTGGTGAAGCAACTTGCACAAGAAAAACCCAGCCTCCTCAGAAACCCTGTACTATGAGTTGAAATCAACTCGATGGCACTTAATAACAACATAGCAGTATTTCATTGTGGGGTTTAAAAACTAGCTTTATTGAGATATGACACATACCATGCAGTTTCTCAGATCATATTGCTCAACATACCAATTGAGTAAGTATAGTGAAAGGATACACTGGTGCACACCTTTCCTGATTTTAAACTATTCGGTATCCCCTTGTTCTGTTCTAACGACTGCCTCCTGATCTGTGTACAGGTTCCTCATGAGCACAATGAAGTGTCCTGGAATACCTATTCTTTGCAATGCTGGCCATAGCTTGTCATGATGCACACAGTCAAAAGCCTTTGCATAGTCAGTGCTGTGGGTTAATGCGCTAGAATGCAAAGTTGGTTTGAACCTCAAGGTTGGTGGTTCAAGCTCACCAGCTGCTCCTCAGAAACGCTATACAGGGTCACTATGGGTTGGAACTGACTCAAAGGCACACAACAATGACAACAACAACAAACATCTTTCTGGTGTGGTGCCGCAGGATAATGTGCTGGACTGCAAGGTCGGTTTTAATCTCAAGGTTGGAGGTTCAAATTCACCAGCCACTCCTCGGAAACCCTATACTGGGTCACTATGAGTTGGAACAGACTCCATGGTACTTAACAGCAACAAGCATCTTTCTTGTATTCTCTGCTTTCTTCCAAGATCTATCTGATGTCAGCAATGACCTCCCTAATTCCACATCCTCTTCTGAATTTGGCTTGAGTTTCTCGCAGTTCCCTGTTGATGTACTATTGTAGCTGATATTGAATTATCTTCAGAAAAAGTTTACTTCATGTGATATGAATGATTTTGTTCAATGATTTCCTCATTCCGTTGGGTCACCTCTCTTTGGAATGGGCACAGATAATGGATCTCTTTAAATCAGTTGGCCAAGTAGCTAGCGCTTTTCTAAATTTCTTGGTATAGCTAAATAGCTCCTCCAGTGCTACATCAGTTTATTGAATGATTTCGATTTGTATTCTATCAATTCCTGGAGCCTTGTTTTGCACCAGTGCCTTTGCACATTGGAATTCTTCCTTCAGTACCATTGGTTCTTGATCATATACTATCTTGAAATGATTGAACATTAACCATTTCTTTTTGGTACAGTGACTAGGTGTATTCCTTCCATCTTCTTTTGGTGCCTTCTACATCATTTGCCCATAGGATCCTTTAATATTGCAATTCAAGGCTTGAATTTTTTCTTCAGCTCTTTCAACTTGAGAAATGCTGAGAGTGTTCTTCCCTTTTGGTTTTCTTTATGCCTTTCATTGTACCGTCTGACTTCGTCTTCTCAAGTTGTCCTTTGAAATTTTATGTTCAGCTCTTTTACTTCCTCATTTCTTCCATTTGCTTTAGCTTTCCTTCATTGAAGAGCAAGTTTCAGAGACTTTTCTGACATCCATTTTGTTTTCTTTCTTTCTTTCCTGTCTTTTAAATGACCTTTTTTTTTTTTATGTTTTATTGTGAATTATGTGATAGTTTACATGGGAAAACATTAATTTTACATTCATCCAATCATATATAATTTCATTGCCATGGTTACAATCCCCTCTATGCATCATTAACCAACCAAAGGGTATATACCCTGCAAGCCTGTCCTCTCCCACCTCCGGTTGTCAGCACACAGCCCCTCTCTCTCTCTGTGTCTAAAGTCCCCAGCTGCTCCATCTCTCCACATCATCATCTCTGCCTCCATCTCTGACATCACTGCTTCTCTGGGTAGAGTCTGGCTCTCTGCTCTTCTCCCTTGATGGTCCCAGGGACCTCCGCTCCTAGACTGCAAAGTTAATCACTCCCCTCCTTGCTACAAAACGTCTACCTTTACATTTCCAACCCTCACAATCAGTCCTGATAACAATTATTCATTATTGTATCACAACAGACCTATCTGCATTTCCTTTCATCAGCCCCTCCTAGACAGATTGGATACTACTCAGTGGAGAGTCTACCTTCCTTCACACCCTCTGGATCTAGGTTCACTCTGGAAAGCTTGTAAGCCTGTCACTTCTTGCCTTTGTAGCCCCCCCACTTTGGGTAGCCAATGTCCAAGTTGCCCATCCCTGTGTAGGGTTTCCAAGGCTGTTAATCTTTATGGGAGCAGAAAGCCTCATCTTTCTCCCACAAAACTGCTGGTAGTTTCAAACTGCTGACCTTCAGGTTCGCAGCCGGACTTGTAACCACTACGATACTGGGGTTCCTTAAATAGGGTAATAGATATAGCTACATTAGGAAGGTAGGTAGATTAGTGCATTGTTTAATGCAGATGTGACTAGCACTGTTTGCTTTCTATGAAATCTATGATCTGATAAAACACCAGTATAATAATAAATATGTTAAAACACATGAAATTACCATTTTGATCTTTTGTATTATTCTTTCTTTTTACAATTTAGTTTCATTCCAGAGAATTGTATGCATGTACAGCTTGGAATTTCATTAAGAAGCCACCTTCTTCAGGGTTTGAGGACAAAAACAGTATGGGGTCTCACCTGCCACACTAACCTTGTTTATACACAGGAGCAAATTACCCAGATGTGGTGAAAACATATGAAACTGTTCACTACAGATTAGTTAGTAAGCACAAGGATGCTTGTGTTTACCACCTTGATTACTGGGTAATTCATCCCTGTCAGGGATTGCAAATTTGAAAAGAAGCTTTGGATACCGTAAAAAGGTTCTGTGGGGCTGGGAGAGAGACATGTACCACCTAAATCTAGAAGCAGAATCTCTGCTGTGGTGAAACTGTGAATTGTTCACTACAAATTAACTCGTGAGCTCTGCTTACTGGGTTATCCATTACTGCAAATCACGCCTTTAGTCCATGAGCTTCTTTCAGGGAAGGATGGGTGGACAGAAAACGAAATCTGAGGTAAGGACTGTGGATCACTGCCTAGCTCAATTGTGAAAGGTACAATGGTCACAGAAAGAGACACCATCCTCCCCAATCTCCCATCCCAAGTCCAGTGTGTGTCCAGTCCTCCACACAGCGCTCCACTCAGTAACAAGTCTGCTCAGAAGCTTTGGGGAAACAGTCCTGGGAAAGATGGCATGGGGCAAATGGTATCCCCAGGGCACAGCTGCTCCTGCCAGAACCCTGCTGGCTGAAGGGGCAGATTTGGGATGTTTGTGCTAAGGGCTGTTCTCTCCTCCTTCTGGGACAAGCCCCCAGCCAGTGTCTCTCTTTTACACACACACACACACACACACAACACCTGGGGAACAGCTTCCCAGACAGATTAGAGCCAGGAAAACTCTAGAGAGCATAGCTCTGCTCTGTAACACATGGGTCGCCATGAGGGGGAACCAAATTGACATAGCAGCTTTTGCTTTGTTGGGGGGATTGTTGCCCTGTGGTATGCCTTAATAAGAGTTCATCAGTGCATTTCCTTCACATGCATATTTCTATTTTAAGACTCAGAGCTGAGATTGTGGAATGAAAGGTTTGGCCTGGTACATGAGTTAGTACTCTAGACTATGTAGGGGATGTCCTGGGCGAGCTTCTGAATCCACTGCCCCACAGATGACCCAGTGTCGACAGCCAGGTCCCACCACTGTGACTCAAGGTTGTTGCTGACCTACCTAAGCTGTCCTTCTCCCCAGGCAGAAATGGTAGACACTGTGGGTGGTGAAGCCGGGTCAGGAGGCTCTGAGGTCACAGCACTAGAAAGATAGGGTTCGAGCCCTGGGAGCTAGTAGTAAGTGACAAGCAGCCACAAACCCTACAAAGAGCCTCCCATGGACTTACCTCATTGTGACCAGGAAAATGCACTGGGGAGCCAGCTGCGCCTCGCCTTACAGCCTGTAGCTTTTACAGCTACACCCGGAGCATCCAAGTGTGAACTAAGTCCTCTCGCCTCTGCAAGACTTCAATCTGTTCACCGCACTAAAGGCTCCTCACTCTTCCTCCCTTCACACACCAGTTGAAAAAGAAAAAAAAAATATATATATCAGCCAAGGTGATCTTCCTGCCACAGGCCTCACAGCCAAGAGTGAGTCCCCTTAGCTACAAAGGCAAGCTAGTTACCAGAAGGCAGTTTCCTTGCTGTTCCATCGCGCTGCTCCCCAATAGGCTGGCATTTAGAAGACCAAGCACTCTGAAAAGTAATCCCACCAGAGCCAGGAATCTCAGAAGTAATTGTGCGCAATGTGCCAGGGTAAAAGCAAGAAGTGTTGTCTGGGAAGCCAGACGTGATCAGCCCCCAGCGCACACTGGAGTCGGTGGCAGGGAAACGCGGACCTGTCTCCAGCTTTCCTGGGGGTTGTGATGCATGCAAAACATTGCCATCCCAGATAGGCAGTTCCCAAGGGCGAGCTGGGTTGACTTGAAGACAAGTTAAAGCCAGGAAATATGGGCACGAGGTTGCCCCTCCCACCCCTCTTTTCTTGCCTTCATTTCCCGGAGAATGGCTTTCCGGACCAGGCAGCTGGCTAATTAATAAAGCATCCATCCTCTGGAGTCTTGGTGTGGCGCTGTGGGTTAATGCGCTGGACTACAAAGTTGGTTTGAACCGAAAGGTTGGCAGTTCAAGCTCACCAGCTGCTCCTTGGCTAGCCCTCTACAGGGTCACTATTGGTCGGGACTGACTCCACGGTGCCTAACAACACATCCTTTGATTAAGCCCATGCCTCCATTGCTAAGTTGCTGTCATAAAATCTGCAAGTGTGCCAGCCCACTCCAACCGAGCTTTGCTTCCAGATCACGTGTATTCTGCACGGCGGGCCACGTGCAGAATACAAAAATAACTTTATGACGGAACTTCAAAATGCTCATGAGCAATTGTAATGAAAAGATAATGGAATTTTTCCACAAAATTTTGAACTTCCTTCATAAAGCAAAAGAAAAGTAACATTGAGTGTCTAAGACATGCCCCCTATATTGTTGGGTCTGTTGGAGCGTTTACATAAAGAAACCTTGTCTAACATGGTAAACTTCCCCTCCTACTGCCCCACAAGAAAGAGCTGATGTTGTTACGGGGATGCTTGACTAATACACAAGTCAGGGCCACCTGCCTGCACATCCTCAAGACATTTACCAGTTGCTGGCCAGTCCGTTCCAACTCATGGAGACATCCTGTGCGCAGAGTAGAACTGTGCTCCCTAGGGTTTCAGTGACTGCTTTTCAGAAGTAGCTCAACCCTCCCCTCCCCACAAAAAAAAAACCCACTCAGTGGATTCTAACTTATAGGGACCCTATAGGACAGAGTAGAACTGCCCCATAGGGTTTCCAAGGCTGTGAATCTTAATGGAAGAAGACTACCTCATCTTTCTCCCAGAGGAATGGCTTGTAGATTGGAACCACTGACCTTTTGGTTAGTGGCCCTTTGACTATTAGTGTCTAATGCATCAAATCTGTTCTTGAGATGTCTCTAAATTCAGGTGGGATATGTTCAAGGTCATATTTTGGCTCTTGTGGACTTGTGTTAATTTTCTGCAGCTTCAGCCTGAACTTGCATGTGAGCAATTGCTGGTCTATTCAACAGTCTATCCCTGGTCTTGTTTTGACTGATGATATTGAGCTTCTCCATGATCTCTTCCCATAGATGTAGTCAATTTGATTCCTGTACATTCCATCTGGTGAGGTCCATTTGTATAGTTGCCTTGTATGTTGTTTAAAAAAGGTATCTGCACTGAAAAAGTCATTGGTCTTGCAAAATCCTATCATGCAATTTCCAGCATTATTTCTACCACCAAAGCCATATGTTCCAATTACTGATCCTTACTCTCTGATTTCAACTTTTGTATTCCAAACACCAGTAATTATCAATGCATCTTGATTGCATGTTTGATCAATTTCCAATTGAAGAAGTTGGTAGGATTATTTAGTTTCCTCCTCACTGTCTTTAGTGGCTGGTGTATACATTTGAATAATAGTGGTATTAACTGATCTTCCTTGTAAGTGTATGGACATTATCCTATCACAGACAGCATTGTACTTCAAGAGAGATCTTGCAATGTTCTTTTTGATAAAGAATGCAATGCCATTCCTCTTCAATTTGTCATTCACAGGATAGTAAATCATATGATTATCTGATTCAAAATGATTAATGCCAGTCCATTTCAGCTCACTAATACATCCCATTTCATTTTTGACAACTTCAATTTTCCTAGATTCATACTTGATATATTCCATGTACTGGTTATTAATGATGTTTGCAACTGTTGCTTCTCATTTTGAGTTGTGCCACACCAACAAATGTCCTGAAAACTTAACTCCATATTCATCATTAAGGCCAACTTTACTTTGAGGAGGTGCTCTTCCCCAGTCATGTTTTGAGTGCCTTACAACCTGAGGGAATCATCTTCTGCTACTATTTCTGACAATGTTTTGCTGCTATTCATAAGGTCTTTTTTTTAAGCTTTTATTGTAAATTGAGTGATAGCTTACATGGGAGACCATTCATTTTGCATTCAACTTATCGTATTTTGTTTCATTGCAATGATTACAATTCCCGCTTCTATTCCCTCTGTTTGTTTTGATATACACAAAAATACGCAGGGGTATATAATCATTTAAACAGCCAAAGGGCTGTTTCTGCAAGCCTGCCTCCTGGCTTTTCTGCAAGCTGCCTCCGCCAACACACAGCCTTTCTCTTTCCATGAATCTAGAGTCCTCAGTTGCTCAGTCTCTCCATGTCATTACCTCTGCCTCCATCTCCAGTGTCACTATTTCTCTGGTTACAGTCCCACATTCCTCTCATGCTCTTCTCCCTTGATAGTCCTAGGGTCCTCTGTTCCTTGAATGTAAGATTAACTGTTGTTGTTGTTGTTGTTGTTGTTAGGTGCCATTGAGTTGGTACCAACCCATAGCAACCTTTTGCACAGCAGACCGAAACACTGCCCGATCCTGGGCCAACCTCACTATTGTTGCCACACTTGAGTCCATCGATGCTGCCACTTGGCCAATCCATCTTGTTGGGGGTCTTCCTC